TCGTTAAAAAGAATAACTAAAAGACGTCTTGAAGCTAGAAAGCCTTCAAGCTTTTTCCGTGTGAGCGAGGGTTCAGTGTTATAAATTGTAAACAAAATAAAGTCCCAGTCATATGCTTGTCAACCTGTCTGATTCAACGCTCTTAAAGATATCTAGTTCACTATTAGGAAGTTTTAGAAAAACGTACGCAAGCGCTTTGGGTACCGTAAAAATAGCGTTGCGATGTAAAACCTATGGCGATGCTAATTTTAGCTTGCCCAAAGTGCTTCAGTACGTTATTCTAAGACTCCCTTATTGCACAGAGCGCGACACTATATTAGCGCGAACAAGCGATCGTCGTGTTTTTATGTTTATCTCATAGAATCAAAACGCTGTTTTCAAAACTATTAGTGTCTTTAGAAGTGATCATCTGGGCCACAGACCTAAGCGGTATACTTTGGTGCCTACTGACACTATTTCGAAGTAAAATTCGAAAAAAGAGCCAACGTCGTATTCGCGGTATCAGTTTCGCGCAGTGTACATAGCCCGTTCCGCGCTTGCACGTTTTGGGAGCCATCTTGAAAAAAACGTTTTAAGGGGTTAAGTAGGAATATATTAAACTTAAGCTTGCCTGAAAGGGTTGTATATTTTAAGAACGCGTTGACATGTAAAGCTACTTCAGAACATATTCTTAAACAGAAAAGGTGCGCAGACAAGGCTTAGAACGATGGACACTTTTTGCGAAGAGGTTGCGATGTGCAGGGCCTTATAATAGTAGGTTGAAACGGGACGCGTTCAAACGCAAAGGGTGTTTCGGAAACTGGTTCAGATAAGAAGGGCGTTTAGGGAATGGGTCGAAGCGGGACAAATTCAAACGAGAAGGGCGTTTAGGGAACTGGTCGAAATGGGACGGGTTCATATGGGAAGGGCGTTTAAAGAATGGGTCGAAACAGGACGGATTCAAATGGGAAGCTCGTTTCGGGAACGGTTCGAAACGGGACGGGTTCAAACGGGAATGGGTTGTTTCGGGCTACAGCCATCGGGCCGGGTCGGGCGGGGCCTAGAAATTAAAAATTTTGTCGGGCTCGGGCCGGGCCCGGGCCGTGTCTCTTTCGGGCCGGGTCGGGCTGGGCCTAGAAATTGAAAATTCTGTCGGGCTCGGGCCGGGCCCGGGCCGTGTCTCTACCGGGCCGGGTCGGGCCGGGCCTAGAAATTCCGGCCCGTGCAGTGCTCTACTCTTCCCAAGCGGGAGGAGGAGGGTGGCACGCGAATACGGGCCACCGTGGGCTCCAATTGTCCTCGGTGATGATGATGCAGGAAAATGTAGTGGACGCGCTGTCAGGCTGCTTCGTCACATTACCATACTCTTCCCAAGCGGGAGGACGAGGGTGGCACGCGAATACGGGCCACCGTGGGCTCCAATTGTCCTCGGTGATGATGATGCAGGAAGATGTAGTGGACGCACTGTCAGGCTTCTTCGTCACATTACCATACTCTTCCCCCAGTGGGAGGAGGAGGGTGGCACGCGAATACGGGCCACCGTGGGCTCCAATTGTCCTCGGTGATGATGATGCAGGAAGATGTAGTGGACGCGCTGTCAGGCTGCTTTGTCACATTACCATATACTGTTCCCAAGCGGGAGGAGGAGGGTGGCACGCGAATACGGGCCACCGTGGGCTCCAATTGTTCTTGGTGATGATGATGCAGGAAGATGTAGTGGACGCGCTGTCAGGCTGCTTCGTCACAATACCATACTCTTCCCAAGCGGGACGAGGAGAGTGGCACGCGAATACGGGCCACCGTGGGCTCCAATTGTCCTCGATGATGATGATGCAGGAAAATGTAGTGGATGCGCTGTCAGGCTGCTTCGTCACATTACCATACTCTTCCCAAGCGGGAGGAGGAGGGTGGCACGCGAATACGGGCCACCGTGGGCTCCCATTGTCCTCGGTGATGATGATGCAGGAAGATGTAGTGGACGCGCTGTCAGGCTGCTTCGTCACCTTACCATACTCTTCCGAAGCGGGAAGAGGAGGGTGGCACGCGAATACGGGCCACCGTGGGCTCCAATTGTCCTCGGTGATGATGATGCAGGAAGATGTATTGGACGCGCTGTCAGGCTGCTTCGTCACATTACCATACTCTTCCCCCAGTGGGAGGAGGAGGGTGGCACGCGAATACGGGCCACCGTGGGCTCCAATTGTCCTCGGTGATGATGATGCAGGAAGATGTAGTGGACGCGCTGTCAGGCTGCTTCGTCACAATACCATACTCTTCCCAAGCGGGACGAGGAGGGTGGCACGCGAATACGGGCCACCGGGGGCTCTAATTGTCCTCGGTGATGATGATGCAGGAAGATGTAGTGGACGCGCTGTCAGGCTGCTTCGTCACAATACCATACTCTTCCCAAGCGGGACGAGGAGGGTGGCACGCGAATACGGGCCACCGTGGGCTCCAATTGTCCTCGGTGATGATGACGCAGGAAGATGTAGTGGACGCGCTGTCAGGCTGCTTCGTCACATTACCATATACTCTTCCCAAGCGGGAGGAGGAGGGTGGCACGCGATTACGGGCCACTGTGGGTTCCAATTGTACTCGGTGATGATGATGCAGGAAGATGTAGTGGACGCGCTGTCAGGCTGCTTCGTCACATTACCATATACTCTTCCCAAGCGGGAGGAGGAGGGTGGCACGCGAATCCGGGCCACAATGGGCTCCAATTGTCCTCGGTGATGATGATGCAGGAAGATGTAGTGGACGCGCTCTTAGGCTGCTTCATCACATTACCATACTCCTCCCCCAGCAAAAGGAGGAGGGTGAAAATGTCATGTGATGTGAGTGCGCTGTAGGCCAGCAGTGTGAAGCACTACTGAAAGTAGAAACTCTGTCTTGGCTCTTGGCAGGTCTGTGTGGGGAAGCAGCTGAAAATTCATTGTCCGAAAAAGAGCTACTCAGTCGGAACATATTTTACAGCAAAGCTGTTTATGGCTAGGGTTCCGTAGATTTTTCGTGTGCGTGACCAAAAACTCTACGCCCGCACCGCACCCACGCGCAAGCCGTGCCGGCGTCTGCAGCAGTAACTGTTCTAAAGCAAAAGCCTAAAGCAAATGGCATCTTGCACGCACGTTCGTCAACGCTTTGTTCTGGTTATTTGCTTCGAATCTTTTATACGGGGAAGACGTGCGCGTGCGGTGGTGGAACACCATTCCCTGCATTATCCTTGAAGCTTGCGTAATTTAGCAAGTTTTGTGTGCGTGACCAAAAACTCGTACCGTCCTTTCTTTGTCGTCGTTCTAAGCGCTTGCGTGCCTAGTTTCCTTTCCTTCCGCTCTCCCGGAATGGTGGTCCCGTCGCGCGTGTCTACTTTCCACCGGGTGGTGGGTGGTCCGGTCGGGCGGCGCTTGGTGCTTGGGGAGTTTAGCAAAAGGTCTGTAGCAGACGGACGGAGGCGAAAACGGACGCCGCCGCGCAGCTTTCGTGTCCGCGTCTCACGGACACTGCAAACGAGGATAAACGGTTGTGAAATAGCAGACGATGCCAGTGGCTGTCGCGCATCTGCTCGCACGACTATCAAGCGGTGCCCGGAGTAGACGCACCGGATGTCGCAAAAACTGAGACACTAGTCTTGTCAACGTGTTCAGTCGAGCAGCCAAGCCAATTCAGTGGTAATGGGCGGGGCCACTGATATGTGGATAGGGCTTAGAGCGTGCCGTGCCCTATCCACACATAAATATTACTAACTTCGGCTGCAGCCTTTGCTAAATCTGCAGGCGGGGTGTAGATAATGGCCACACCATCTCACCATTCTGTTTACAATTTGAAGTTTCTCCCAATAGTGAAACCTTTTCGATAGTGCGACGGAAAAGTTTAGAAGCCAGACAAATTAACATGCATTCATATTTGAGAATTTTTGAAGAGGGGTGCCCAATAAAACGAATATAAAATTAACCACATCCAGAACATTTGTTATACAGCGATCCTGACATCAACGCCTTACTAGGCTCGTCAACGACTGCACCTTCTCGTAAAACAAATATTATGCACAAAACCACGTGGCACATAACTATATAATCTTTCTGAGATCTAAGTTTTACCCCCCGCCCCGCCCCTCCCCGTCCCTCACGTCTCCCGTAAGAATGAAAGCGAATGTCGTAGAAGAAGTCCACAATACCTATAGTTCGTAACTGTCAGAGAACGCGAGGTGTGGAGTTTATTTTCTCATTATAGCCACGCAGCCAATGAGACCCCGGCATTAGATGATAACCGAAGAACGAATCACAAAGCAATTCGCGTGGAGATAACACGCTGGGTGGCGCAAGTTACCGACCGTCATAAAGAGTATAGCGATTAGCATCCATCTCTCTATCCAACGCCCCACGTTTCTAAAGCTGTGGATGACAATAGATAGAAAGCCATAGCGGTGAATTTATACATCACCTACTGAAGCCCAACACGGGGCAGGCATTGGACAGGTGTACTACGTCTGCGGTTGGCTCACACTCGTGCAGTGACTGACTGAACGGGAGCAGCAGCCAGGCGCTGACGTAGCCCTCGTGTCCAACATGTAACAAGCACAGACCCCGTGCACGTGACCGAGAAAATTCACTTCTACGGCTTTCTATCTAGACGGTGTTGACAACGTTAAAGAGGCATTAGCAACGTGCGACCTCGCACGACACCCAGAGTTATGCAGATGGCAAGAACCAATCAGTCTGAGGGATGACATGGTGTCATGAGATTAGCGGATATCAACATGGGGCAGCAAGATTTCACAGTTCTTAAGAAACCTATGGTCCATTGTGCCGCTGATAGCCGGACGTTGACGGCTGCTAACCTCGCAATCGGTCAACGCTCGATGGGAGTGATTTTTTGCGCCGCCGCCATGACACTCGCGCGTAATCTCAGGCCGCACTCTCCTGTTGCTTCGCTAGCTTTGTCCACTACTGCACGTTCTGTTCTCGTGACTGTTGGTGGACCAGGGGCCTTGGCGGAGCCTCATTAGATTTTAGTGACCTGCTCACCCGCATGGCCTCGGCAATGGCGAAACCGCTCCCGATCAGAAGGATGACGCTCCACTGAAGCTTGGCTTGCACCACCTTCCATGTGACGAGGCCTGGACTAGAGGTCAGCTTCTTCGGCTCAGCCGGAATGACAAAAAGAAGCACCACGGCGATCATGACTGCCGTGGCGTCCTTAGGTTCCCTGTAATAGCGTCGGGCAGAAAGGGTCTCATCTCATCGTGTACACACATAACAACGAAGAGACACAGAATCCTGAAGCTATTATTAGTTTCGCAATTGAACATTCTCTCCACGTATTGGAGAGCGTTGGTAAATTACAGTGATAAAACTAAAGCGAGATGAAGAACGAGGACAGGATAAAACATGTTTTGCCCATGTTTTACTTCTTATGTTGCTATTCTTTTATCCCTGCAACCTTTCTTAATCGCCAAATTCCTCGGAATCGAAATGGAGGATTGACAAACAGACTGCCTGGTTTGGTTAAATTTCCGTCCCTGCCATTTCTTGGAAAGGCGGTCATTTTTCCTTTCATATTGCAGCTCCCAATAAAAACTATAAGCGAGTAGTCGTACTGCATTGACTTAACTTTTCTACTGCAGTAATGAACCAGTTTTGCTGTCCTAAAGGAAGTTCGCTTTAGCACGCATAAGCGTTCACTTTGTTTTGTTTCTTTCCCCCCGGTTTCGAATTTGGGTAAAACCAACAGCGCACTTGTAGAGAAGAAGATAGAGTGCAAGTTCGTCCTGAACAAGTTCACGATAAATAAGAAGCATAGCCAATTTTGACTACCTTGTATTTCGAAATATATCCAGCATCTTACGTAGGCCCTATCGGCAGAAAAAAGGAAGGCTAAACATTGCCACTCGAACCGAAAAGATGACAAAACATAAGTGACTGTTCCTCGCAACACGTCATCTGAGCCAAAAAAAAGCACCGCAATAGTTAGAAAATTTAAAAGACAAGGGCATAACTTACTACATTCAATGGTTTTAACAATGTAGCGAATAATTAATTCACTATCGTTATCTCTCAGTGCGTCTGTTAAGAAGAACGATATTGAACAGAACAGTGAGCTACCTTTCGGTGGCGAATTATATCCCAAAATTATACTGCAATTCAATACCTTATAGTGTTTCCTTTATTTATACCATAAACAAAAAAAAAACATTTAAAAGTTGCTACCGAGTGAGGGAGATTATTCAGGTCTAGAAGTTTTGTTCCTAAAAGTAACTGGACATTTTTTTCTTACAAATTCATTTTACGCAATCCGACACCGGGTTAAATATACTTTCCCAACTATTACTTCTAATTCACAAAAAAATAATTATCATGGCGTGCACTAGAAAGGTATAACGCATTCGCTCGAGCAAGCGGTAAAAAAAAATCTTTATTGTTCTTTTGAATTAAAAATCGCCTAAGACCCTTGGGATAGATTATAAGAGAAGCACGGAAAAGGTCAAATGTATGATCCATATAAAGTATTGCATTTTCCTTGCAGCACATCATGACTAGACCATGATGTGCTGCTTGGCTGCACCTTAACCTCGCATTTGGTTCTGTACATAAGCTCGAAAGCAAAACAAGGTTGCGATGCATGAGACAGGTACTGCGAATTGTTCATAAAACCCGCAACGTTCGATGTAGCGTCGTTTACGAAAGCGACGCTACGTAACGCGCATGGGGAAAGGGCATCATTACGGACTTCAAGCAGTCTTGTTTTAACACACAGGGTGTTTCTCTTTAAGCTTCAGAGATTTGTATTAAAAAAGCCGTGAAATCTACTTATGCGCGTTGTGCAGGTGAGTTATACGGCTAGGGGGACATAGTAAATGGGGCCAATCGGACGATCAGTCGGATAATTATGCAAAATTTGTTGATTAACGTTTGAAATATTAAAATTAGACATATGGTTTCAAATACAAACTTCCTGAACGGCATCAAAAACCATTTAATCAACTCTTTTTAGAAGGATATATTGCAAGGGCATCATTTTACGGCGTTCCGTTAAAACCCTTCATTTGGACGCGTTTCTAGGTTTAGGTTTCTTATCGGAGCGCATCTCTGCACCCGCGGTCCTGCTCCCCAACGGCTGAGACCCACAACACATGTGCGGCCTGCTTCCCTCCTACCTACGAGGGAGGCAAGGGGGTGGCTTCGCGGCGCGACCACCGGGGAGCGGGACCGTAGGCGCAAAGAAGCGCTCGTATAAAAAAAAACGAAACCTAACAACGCGTCCACTTTGAGATTTTTTTTTTCAGAATACCGTAAAATATTGCTTCTTTCTTATATCATCTTAAAAAGAATTAATTTTGTGGTTTTCGGTGATGCTTAGCAAGTTTCTACTTAGAACCGTGCGTCTCTTTTCACTAAAATTAAAGTTATCAAATTATACTCAAGTAGCCGACTGATCGTTGCAAATAAGCCCCTATATTATGTTCACTTGGCCGTACAACTCACCTGTACAAACCGCGTAAGTGTAGTTTTCATAGCTTTTTTAGAACAAATCTGTAAAGCTTAAAAAGCACCTGAATTTCATATTAGTACGACGCAAATTCAGTAGCTCCAACTTCATGTCGTTACCTTTTTTTTTTTTTTACAGTAAGTGTCTTTTTTAGCTTTACAGCGTGATTTACACTGTTTTGTTTGTCCGGTATTATCTTAAAGCAAAATGAGCACACTTACGTGACCGTGAAGTAAGCTGCCCAGCCTCGAGCGAACATTGGATCCCGAAAAAGCCATAGAAATATGAGCAGTGTGAAAAGCACCAGCACTGCCACTTCATGAAACCTGCAAAAAGCACGTTGTTAAACTTACCGGGGCAACAGCTTCAAATCACTTGTAAGCAGATATCTAAATCTACAAAACTTTAAAAAAAATATGGTCGCAGAGATTTTTAAATTAAAAAAAAAAACATAAGCACTGTGCGACTAAGTTAAAATCGTGAATAACAGTAGAAAGAATAATTTTGGTCAAATTAATTGTGAATTAAACATTTGTGGATATGCGATGCTTGTTCACCTGCCTAACGCTAAAGACACTATTCGGGAATACATAGCCACCACCACTGAGCGCGCGTTTCGTGAAAAGTAAAGGGAGCACTGCTTCTTTCCATTTATTTTTATTTTTTTGCCATATCATGTTTGTTTTTCGGCAGGCAAAGCTGAGCGCATAACAGAGGTACTTAGTTCCCAAACTGCAAACCGACAAAGCCTAGCAGAGGTAAGAGGAAAGCATTGTTGCTGCGCATGCAAAAATGAATATATTGTATACATGCTTCTTTCTGCAGCTGGCTATATAAAATACGAAAACGGAATTCGTGATAACTCATAAAACCTATTTATTTATTTAAGTTACCCTCCCAAGCCCGGAGGCATTACAGGAAAGGGGATACGTAATCAAAAGATAAATATACACAAATAAAAGAAAGTTTCCGCATTAAAAAGAGCAAGTGCTAGGGGGGACAAGTAGGATTACACAAGGCTAGGAAAAATTATAGGCTCAATTATTTTAATAAACAAGATGCAACAAGGCCTCAATATTTGTAAATAAAAGAAAGAAAAGTTCGATTGAACTTTGCTTTACATGTGACTGTAGTAAGCAGTTCCACCGATGAGTAGTAAGAGGGAAAACATTTTTGTCTTTTTGTGATCTATTTTGTTTGAAATTAAGTGCGGAGAAGGAAGAAACCTTTCACTGTTTATGCCTATTTTGTTATTGTACATATTTTGCTCCTAACTTTTATTGTATATATACATCTGTACGAAAGTGCTGTGAGGTTGTTCCCAATACACTAGAAAAAGGCAAACCGAAAACTAAACGAAACACAAGCCTTCCAAGTTACTGCCATTCAATTTTTCGGTTGAAAATACATGTCAATGTGTTCTGACGACCAACCAAACCCGAAGTTGATATATATATATAGAAATCTAAGGAGTGCCATAAGTGGCTCAAAGGCGGCCTTTTCGTACTCATTATTGAAAGCTATCAGAAAAACTTGCCATCGACGGAGCGGTGCAAACGAAACATGGAAAAATGTTTGAAATGTCTATTTTTTAAGCGAAGCCTACTCACTGAGCACTTACCTAATAGGGCCGAGTGCGGCGTAATTACTGCGAATAGCGTCCAGCGCCGCGGAGCCACCATCACTGTCGAGGTTTGGCCTGAAATAGAGATTAGAAATATATTAAAAATTGTTCATTAAATAAACCTCGAAATAACATATCCTGAAGTATCTCTGTCAATCTGCAAACATAATTGACTTCTAAACAGTGTTTCTTGATGACCAAAGTGTGTGCCATAACAAGAACCAAACAAAGGAAACAAGAAGTCGTATGACTTGTACGCCCATAATATTTAGGGATGTGATTAAGATGTAGTCCACCTCATTTATGTTTTTTTAATGAGCTTGCATTATACTAGTAAAAACAGGCCTTCATTCATTTCATTGAATAATGCCTTTAAGTATACAATGTCATGGTTGATCTACAAGCTCGAGAATGTGGTTTCCTCCGATAAAATGTGTCTTGTTCCATAAGTGAAGGTTTCAAAACATGCAAATTCAAATTAGGTTGTGGTTGTTGTTTTTAATGCCAAATCGAGTCTTTTTTACTTGCTAGGTTTTTCAAGGTCTACAGAATTATGCCCATTTTTCTTGCCTCGATTAATTTCGCGTGGAGGTAATTTTATTTACAGTCGAGTGTTTTAACCACCAGTAAGCATCAACGTGCGGGAATTAATCAGAACAACCTATCTAGTATTATGCGTTAATTATGCCGCGTAGTAGCCGCACATGCCACTTCGACCTCGTCCCTCACGAGTCACGTGATTCGCGTTTATCTTCTTAAGTCCTGCGTTGACAGAGTTCACGAATGTTTTCGTACGGATCGACGGAGGGAAACAACCAATTCAACCTTTAGAAAGCGGACCTGACAAAGTCTTACGCACAAGCTTTAAATATATGAATCATCACTAGTCGCGCAGACAACATTGGAATCGACCGATTGAAGACTGCATTCTAAGAAGGTGATCAGCCCCCTCATCTTCAGACTTCACAAGTTCACCACTATGGTAGCAAGCGGAAAGTTGGCTTTCAAGAGACATCACATATTCCATAGCCCGTCACCTGACTTCCTCACTAGGAAGCAATACAGTATGTAGTAACAAAAGCAACGAAGAAAACAAAGAAGCCCTAATGGCGCATAACACAATTAGCATCTGACCCGACAACAAGCGCGAGGAGTGCGACCACCAGACCACAGCACATTCCAGCCACACCAGCTGAGCACATCCCTACAACACCAGCTGTGCATCTTCGACCTTTCGTAATTATGTAAATATAATGCATTGTTGGTCAGCACATCTTTTAATTCAAAAGCTGGCAATATATGCCTCCTTTAAGATTATTTTGTTTTCTTAATACTAAGGTCTCCACCGGATGCGATCGAGATGCATTGCGATCGCAATGAATAAAGCTGAAGCTGGCCGTGAGCATGTCATCCTAGTAGTAGGGTCAGGAGGCGAACGTTTGAGGACATGACGTCATCTGATTTAAAAGATATAAAACAATTTTTTTGGCCGACGTGCAACTAAGCCTTATATTCGTCAAATCAAAAATGAAGTTCTGGAAGGTTGTGGTTTTTATTTTAGTGAAAACAAAACGTGTAAGCTAAAAACACAAAATGTCGTGTTGCTTGCTAACAGTTTTAGTGTTTTTTATTTGTATTTTTTTTCTCTGCAATAATTGTTGCAGTTGCTTACAACCTTTACGTTTGGCTATATGACCGGCGTGGCATAGGTAAACGTCGTCTGATCAAGAAAAATAGAAATTACAGAGAAATCTTTTTTTTTTAATATTATTTTGATTTATGTAACATGTTCTCCAACTTTGGCCTTTTGTCCACACCACCAGCGTAACATGCTCACGGAGTTTCAGCATTCTGGGAAGCGTAACCTTTTTATGCGGGCGAAAAAAAAAAACAGTTTCTTCTTCTCTATCGGACCTGGTAGATTGATTTGACAAAAATGGCCGTTACGGTTAGCAGAAAGAACAACCGCTTTGGGGCATTATTTTCAGGGGATCACCCTTTGTTGTCAATGTAACGCATCAGCGTGAAAAAGAAACCTAGAAGCAATTTAGACTCTTCCATACATCGGCTGTTAGCGTGAGGACTCCCAGGATATGTTTTTCATCGAGCTGAGCAGCTACTGCTGCCCTCGTCTTTTAGCTGAATTTGACATTAAGAAAGTCACACCTCTACCATCCAGTTCGTTTCTGCGCCGGCGTTTATGCAGTTATCGTGTCGTCGCTCTATTTTGTTTAAAATTACCGAAATTTTATTCTCGTGTTTACTTTTATTATCAAATCTAAACCGCAATGTTTCACAAAGCAGTAGCCATGGCTAAAATACACTTTTAGCAAATATTAAGCCACTCAAAATGTAGGCTTCAATGTTCACATAAAACCGCCTTACGGAGGCTAGATTTCTCAAATCAGCAAACACAACGAGCATTTAAAGTGAGTGTTTGTATATAGTGTTTTGACTTATGAGAGAGAAAAAAAAAGGAAACTGTTATGCACTTGGGTACATTAGAAGTCTCCAAGTACGTTCTACACTCTACACAATAATAAAAGCAACGTGTACAAGCTCCATGCACTCTAAGAAAAAAATGGAGGAAAAAAGTAGCAACGGCGCGTCTTTATCCCTTCTACTGACGCGGCCCCAAAGCGGACACGAGAAAAAAGGAGGAACGAAACGTTTTTCTCCTTCTCTAGGCGGACGGGAAAAAACTTTCGTCCTCCCGGCTCATCTTCTTTCGGTTTTATTTTTCCAGGAGGTCGCGCACGTTGTTTAATAAATGATGTTGAGTTGATAGAGCTTCAGCGGCAGCGAAGGCCGCCTGTTATTCCGTCTTCTAGTCCAAACGTGCAGAACATTTCGGTTGCATTGACGTTATTACCACTAATTTTATCAAACGAGCAAACCAAGCCGCTAGAAACAGCGAAGTTCCGGAGCAGTGCCAGCAGCGCCACGTACACTGGGTAAGATGGCCGTCTCCGGATTTCGGGAGTCACGCGGGACTACAGTAGCGAAACCACGCGGACTGTGTCGACGTTTTCGACGTTATGTAAATCGCAGGAACTGCGTCCAAGACAAGCAGGTTTTGCTGCCAGCTGCCTGGGTACCTTCCGTACTGCGTTCGGTTCTGTTTTCCGATGCCAAGTGCAACAGGCGTTCAACGTGGTTCAGTATTTGTGCGTATCAGCAACATAGCAGCAACATCGTGATGGCAGTGTTGTGGGTCGTGAACAGAAGACTGGAATTATCGCCGATGTGACCGTGTCTTCGCGTATCAGTGGTGTAACAACAAGATGAGATGACGTAAACTGTCGGGCATTGATGCCGCTGGTCGGGCCGTGATCGGACGGAGCGGGGTGTCGCAGGTTGGCATTCCGCTTTAACATAAAAAGTTTAATATCATTTGAGGGATTAGGTGCAATCGATCGACGTGCGGATAGTCATGTTAAAACGCTGGTCAGAACAGTAAGTTCCTACCGTACAGTGGCCAGTATGACTCTCGGTTGTCTCGTCCCTGAGAGCGATTGCGCTCTGGGGAAAGGACTGAACAGTACGAAATTGTGACGGAAAGTACGTATATTTACAGTGTGGAATTTTAGGATTAAAAAAGAATAGTAGGTAAAATCGAGAGAAAAAAAGCTACCCTTTATTTTGGTGTTTAAATTTACTACGGTTCCTGGAGAAACTGCCCACCAAGTGGCGCGCTGGGATGAGCGCTAAAAGTTTTCGAGCTCGACACGGCGTAGCTCCGTACACATAACACCTGCCGCAAGCTTTTACTACATTCAAGTTGATCGAAAAGCGATTTTTTAGCCCGTGAAGCATCACTTCCAGCTGAGTGAATATCCCCTCTGCAGAGATTAATTCAAGACGGCAATTGCAGCCTTGCATGAACAGCACAAATAGAAAAACAAACACTACAATAGAAATACAGGCTACGACGTGCCGTGCGGGGAAACAAACTCGTGGCTTCGAACCGCATTGGAGCGGCTTGATTTATTGGCTTTCAAATAATTACGGCATAATCGAGCGTTTGCTTTTTAATAAGAGATTCATCCCCTGAGCCATTCAAAATACTCTCAGAGGTATGACATTGCTGGAAAAAAATCAGCATGCTGGGAATATTTTTTATTGCTCATTCAGTCACCGAGAAATTCCGTTCGTTCGAAAGGACCAGTATAAAAGACGGAAACGCAGAGCTCGGGTGTAGTCTGCCGGCTCAGCAACACTTCCTTTGATTTCCTTGCTCTCAAGACTCTGACTGACTGACTCGGGTGTAGTGTTCGGGTTAGGATGCCGTTGTATTGATGTTTTTATGTGCCGTGTATGTGCTCAATGTACGTTCACCTGATGCATATAGTGTGTGTAATGTGTCTACATGTGTGTATAATGCAGGTTCCCGAAGATCCCGATGCGGAATGGTGCCCTGATGAAATAAAAATATTTTTGTAGAACATGAACTGGGCGGTACTTAGCGCCACCTAGCCTAGCTACTTGCAATTACTTTGCTTGACTTTGCCAGATAAGCGATTTAACCTTCTTTCACGCTACGCAGTGGCTTCGAGTTTGTTCTTTTGGGAGTGGCTTTTGGTTTCGCGGATTGAGTTTGCCATTCCTCCGTGATGTGCGCTTGACGAAGGAATTGTGGCTCGAGGCACACCAAAGGTAAGACGCAAAGTGCGCGAAGTAACTGGGTATCGGTTGTCTCCGTTTAACATCGCAGTGCTGTCGACGAGAAGACTGAGTAACTGCTTTCGTACCTGTGGGGTAATCTGGCTTCGGAAATAAACACAGTTCGCGGAAGGCTCATGTTACGCGTCTATTTGCTGCTCCTCTCGTCCCGTACAAGAGACGTAGCGTCCTCGTTAGGACTTATTGAGCTCGATTTGCTCGATTCAGGGCCGCCATAATGAGATGCAGGCGACGAAGGAATTCGTTGCTACCCTGCTTCAGGGACGAAAGTTTCTCCCTTCCTAAAGGAACCATAGGTTACAAGACCGTTCCTTTCCTAAGGGAGGCCGATCGATACCCTTTTTTCTAAGAGTGTGGGGAACAGTTTTTAGAGCACAGCTCTTAGGCGCCCGTTTCCGGCTTGAGCGGCGTCGCCTTCACCGTCACTGCGCGGTGCATTATAAGGCGCGTAACGTCACTGGTTACGTCACTTATGACGTCATCAGTGACGTCATGTGTGATGTCACTAGCAGAAAAAATTCCTCGCTAAATCTAGCGGAAAATATTTCCCCGCTCAATTTAGCGGAACAAATTTCCCCGCTAGATCTAGCGGAAAGCATATCCCCGCTAAATTTAGCAGAAAAAACTTCCCAGTTAATTGTAGTGGAAAAAATTTCCCGCTAAATTTAGGGAAAAAAATTGCTCGGCTACAGTCCCGCGAAATTTGCACGCGATGCTCTTACCAAAGATGTGTGTCTTCTGCGACTTGCGTTAAGCACACGTCGATCCACATCCATGTTAGTAGTGGGGGACTTTCCACCTTTTCCCCTCAGTACATTTCCCACTCCTCCTCAAGAGCTGCGCTCTAATTCGGCATTACAAAAGATTGTAAACGTCTTTCGTTTTTTGTTCAGCTAATGCTTGAATCACTAAGGTAAGTGGTATACTTATGCGTAGTTTTTGCGGGGAATCAAACATTAATTTACAAAACACAATTTCATATTTATTACGCTGTACTGAAGTGCAACAAAGATAACGAGAGTATCACAATTATTCAGTTCCTTCAAGGGTATCTAACCGAACCGAAACAAAAAACCGACAACAGGAAAACCATCTGCTTGAATGCGAACCGGAATCAAACTATAACATCACAATTTTTGCGTTCTGGAGCAAGACTGAAAAGTAGTCTTAGCGCTTTTCAGTTTATAAAGAAAAGTATGGTCGAAAGCGCGCATCGCAAGAAAATGCGTACATTTTTTTTTTTTTTGTGTGCGAGTGTTATTTTTTATGGAACGTTCTCAAGCCTTATGTACTCTGCCTAATATTAAAGAATCCTAAGCGTCTTCGTGAGCTTTCGCACGCGACAGAAACTTTCGTCTTTTTGTGAAGAGCATTTATGCACCAACTCACACATGAGACATTGTAATGAAAATTGTTGTCTGCTTTTGAATAGGGGAGGATGCTTCGTCAAGAATTAAAGCCTAGCATTTTGTTTATAAGCTGTGCTTATAAAAAACGAGAAAGAAAAAAGTCTTCCACAATTCTCAAGATTGGCACAAATAGCCATTGGGATTCCTGTAAAGCTGGTCTGCGTGGAATGTTTTCTCTCAAATGAAATTTATTTCATAAGCTAAGAGACAAGCTTAAAACAGGTTATATTAGCACAATTTATGGACAGTTTTCAGCTTCGCCTTTTTATATACAAAATTTAGAAGGAAATATAGGTTTTGTTTTTGTCACGGTTTGTTTTCCAATTCTTGTATAAAGATGGAAAAGGGAACCGGTTCGATCTGGTATAAAACCCTTTTTTTTTTTCTTTTTACTCCAAAGTTAGGCCATTATTGAGAAATTTTCTCTGAACCGGAACGAAAACCGGACGAAAGACATCAGGGCCGGCTTGTTAGAAACAGCGTCTCAGCTGAGACTGGGGAAAAGAAAGCACTGCCAAAGCCAGCGCACGAACTGAGCGGGACTCAAACTGCATCTCAAGACGCTCGCGCGCCCCAGAAAGCACTTTGCAGTGCTTTCTTTCACCCAGTCTCAGCCGGGACGCTGTTCTTTCATTGACTCGAATTAAGCACACTGCATTGAGGAGAACAAAATAGAGGGGCTTTGAGCAATAAACTGGTATTCCGTTCACCAGAAAAAAGTAACCCCCCATTGGCTGCCGTCATGCTGTACAATTTTTACCACAGGTGACCGTACCAAATCCTGTGGCTTTTACGCAAAACCGAGTCGAGATTGGTATTGCGATCGCCATAAAAAAAAAAAACATGATAAACTATTTTTCAATACTGCTAGCATCAGAGATCAGTGCCTATAGTCGGTGACAGGTCAACAACGAAGTGGAAGATCCTCCCACCCCTTTCCACTTGAGCGGAGCGAACGGTGAAGAGGAGGTCGCCTTCTCTCTAGTGTTCGCTCTACGAAAGTGGAAAGAGGCGGAAGGAGCTTCCACTTCGTTGTTGACCTGTCACCGACTATAGCTCCGATCAAAAACCCGAAATAGAGGACCGCGGCTGACGGCATCTAGCGGAGCCATTGCGAAGCTGTCCGAGCTTTTCAGTAAAAGCACATTTTGCTCTTAAAACAAGCGAAACATAACTTATCTTGCCTGTACTGTTCATAAAGATCAATAAAGAATTATCTGTGGGCGGTACTTTATTAAAATCTAGACGTAAACCGATAAGGTCACGTGTCTAGTGGTCAAGAATGCGCAACATGGTGGCAACCGGGTGGGGGTCACTTTCAGCTCCCAGTTTATCGCTCTAATGGCGAATTCCACGGGTCGTTTTAGAGCGCACCGGGATCGACTTTTCTGGAGCGAGCCTACTTCAATGGGTGATCGGGATCGAGACGGACGTGTTCCACTGGTCGTTTTGGATTAGCTCCCGCTCCAGATCTCCATCTGGATCCGAGAAAAGTCGCTCCGATGATTTTGGCGGATTCAACCGGAAGCCAACCGGGCCAGCCCTCGGCGCACACACGTGACTTCCTTTCTCGCGGGGCATCTCGCCTGATCTCGCCCATCTCGCCTCAGAATTCGTAATGGCCGCTTGCTTGCCCCTTGGTCCGACAGTCCGTTCGTTTTCCAGGAAGGAGAAGAGAAGGTTTTGACCGCGCTACGGGCATTCCGGCATTCTTTGCTAAAAGCTCCTGAGCCGCTCCTGCCGCTCGTGAGTCGAACATATGTTAGCGCCGCAATTGCAAAAAACGTCTTCGAAACGACCGCGGCGGCCGCGGAAATGGGATTCCCGGGCAGTTGAATGACGGGAAGGCATCCGCCGATCCCGGAGCGGTGGTCATGTTCCATGGGGATCCGTAGGCGGCGTGACCCCGTTCGGATCGTGTGCTCCATTCCGGATCTGGTCAACTGATCCCGGAGCGCTCCAAAATGCCCTGTGGAATTCGCCAAAAGCCCGTCTACCTCGTTAATCAAGTAATACCTTAGCCCGCTCGATGGTTCTACTCTTCAGAGGCAAAAACAAATGCAAATCGTTTTTCATATACTCTCAGTGTTCAACAACTGCAGCTATGTACGGGCGCGCCATTATCAAGATGTACACCGCTCGACACTACGTCTGAGCACCCCCGACGTTACGATATGATAGAGCCAACTGCACGAAGCAAAAAGTGCCTAGTGATGGCGCTCGTTGCCATTTTGCGTAAGCGTGTCACCGGCTAGACCAATGACTGCGCCATGCTCCCAGCGATTGCGTTATGATACAGCACTTTTTTTTTTCCTGCGCGTGATTGATTTATCTGGTAATGGCAAAGGCATAAAGGCGACGAGCGCTCTGAGCATGCACTTTTCGCGCTGCCTCATTGACAGCATGTGATCGTGACGTTGGATGCGCTCTGAGACAGCATTAAACACACTATAACTGCATTACATCTTGTGAATGGGCCGTTGTCCAGTCACTGACTGGAAAGAGGCCCATATCAAAATCCAAGAACCACTGACAACCTTGTCCTTTTTCGCAGGGTTTCCAGAGCAGGGGCTTTAAACTCGTCAAACACAAAGTTGGAGCCGAAAGTTGGCGGAGCGCGCCGATTGGACGTCGGCGAAAAAAGCGCGAAGTCATCGTCGTGATAAACCAATTGGTGCGCTCTGTCGACTCCGGCCCCAACTTTGTGTTGGACGAGTTTAGAGGCCCTGGGGTCCTAAACTCGCCAACCACAAAGTTGGGGCATGAACTTCGCGCAGCGCTCCGATTGGACCTCGGCTTAAAGAGCGCGAAGTCATCGTCATGATCAGGGATGGGCAGTATTTCAAATACAAGTATTTGAAATACGTATTTCAAATACTTTGTGTATTTTGCATTTGTATTTAATCACAAATTGGGTAATGTATCTGACGTGTGCATTTAAATACTAAAACGTGGGTATTTAAAATACAATTGTAATTAAATACAATTTTGTGGGCGAAAATACATCCCTCAAATAGTGACGAAATCGACGTTCACTGGCAACCTGGCTAAATAGGTGCCTGTGACAACTTGTGATGCTTTCCCAGCCTGATTTTCATTCATATTTTTGCCTGGAACATTCTAAATGCGCGGGTCGTCCAGTTTTTCGTAACTGGTGCGAGTTGCAACAAACAAAATTCTCTAGCTAATGCTGCGCGTCTTGGTCGTCTCGGTTCTTTGTTGGTCTATACCAAAATGTAATCGACAAAAAAAAAGGTGCTTGAAACTGTGTATTTTTTTCACCTATTACATCCAAGCTGATTACATTTTGTTTTGTGATTATATTCCTATTACGTTACTAGAGCCTCGCACACTAACTCCCGAGTGTGCGATGCAAAATTAAAATGAGATACCCAGAAACTCGTGGCAGGTGCCCTGAAGTCGCTGACGCAAATTTTCAGGAATGCATTTGGAAAAGTATTTGGAAGAGACCAAATACATTTGGTTGTATTTGTATCTTGTATTTAAATGCTTTTTTGGAAATGTAGTTATATTTTAATTAAATACATTTTTGACGAAGTATTTTATATTTGTATTGAGATACATATTTGCATGTATTTTGCACATCCCTGGTCATGATAGGCCAATCGGTGCGCTCCGTCAGCTTCGGCCCCAACTTCGTGTTTGACGAGTTTAAAGGTCCCAGCCGTGATGCTTAACTCGCTAAAAACTCGTAAAGCGTGATACCCACCTCCGACAACGAAAGAACAGTGGCACGACCAGGATGTAGATGAGCGCAATGCTGACGAGAGTGATTGGAAGCGCGAAGAAGAGCCACGTGGCGTAGTCCACAGGTGCCCGGCCTTCGTACTCGCTGAAGAATTAAATAAGCGAAATTGTCTCAGAAAGTGCCACTTAAGTTCTCTTTACAAATGCCCCACGTCGTTACCTAAGTCGTATTAGTCGGTGCTGGAAATAGCGCCGACCTTGCTGTTGCAACGCTGACGTAACGCTATATCAGGGATAAAGCGCTGATACAGTGCTGCCTCGGGGGTCACTTGCGTTCGAATCAGCAGTGTGTCAACGCTATTTCGTTTGTTTGTTATTTATCACTGAAATCTATGTGCTCACTGGCCTTCAGGTTTCAGATTTAGAGCTCACAAACCATGACATTCGAGAAAAAAATGACGCCTTGAAAATATTTCAACCTACGGATCTGGGCTATATCCCAAAGGCGGTTGACACCTTCAGGCATCGCCACCGAATGCTCTATTTACATTTTTTTTGTTGACTCTCATGGCAAGCACGGTGAGATTCGGGAGCAAAAAGAAAACTCCCATAAATCAAGAAGCTTGTTTTATTTCCTTTGTTTCCGAGCTTAGCATTCTACTACTCAAGATACCTGAAAAATATGGTGTGACATAACGACGTAGGTCGAATACTTCAGACTTTACCAAACCGCCGAATATCACGTCAATTACGCCTTCACGCCCAATTCTCTTTTTGTTTCAATTGCAGATCAGCAGGTATCTAAAAGCACAGCAAAAAACGCCAGAGATAGCATTTTGTTGTGTTGCAACCGATCACAATGCAGCCATCGACTTCCAAAAGCTCTTCGTCGGAACTGTGTAAAGAAATACCGATGTCTGGCATTATTATCACCCCACGACCAGTGGCGTACCAACTTGTTTTTGAGTGCGGGGGGGGGGGGGCAAACCAGACCCCCCCCCCCCTCCCCCCCAGGGCCGGGGGGGGGGGTGCCCTTGGTATCCCTTGGGCGCCGCCGGCCAGTGTTTGTCCTGCGCAATAGCGGCTGTTTCAGTGGGGCGAAACACATGCCTGCCCCCCCTCTCCCCCCACCCTGAAAACTAGGGGGCAAGCGCCCCCCTTGCTCCCCTTGTCCCCCTGGTTGGTACGCCCGTGACCCCGACGCCTATAAACGCCCACCGACTTAACACCAATCAGTCCGCATTTGCATTACACCGCCTTTAGTACATACGTCAGACTGCCGGACAAGCCGATAATGTATACGTTGCCACTGAATGCCATCGTGAAGCTAAAGCCACTTTTAGGTCGCCTTACGGCCGGGCGGTTTTGGCCGCACCATGGCCAGCAGCAATGGAGCGCTGTCGGTCACGTGTCTGCCTCAAGAGTCCTCCATTTTCAGAAGCAATGTCAGCCAGTACTTCGCAAGTAAAATCATTCTACAAAGAAGACCCGACAGGGCGATGGCTCTTTGAAGAAACCCAATAAATCGTTTTTTCTACGTGTCATTACACGCGGTACTGCAGGGTGCCTGCAAGTGGAGCATTTTTAATTTGGAAATAAAACACTATCACCAGAGTTAAGTCAAAAGAAAAAAAATTCTTTGCGTGAACGAAGGTATTTTCTTTCGAGATCATAACATTTCATTGCTGGCTATTGCGGCGTTTATTACGAGAAAAGACAAGCTAAATAATATTGAAATAAAAGTTACTAACATTATATATCTCCACACCTTACGAACATAAACGTGACAGGGGTCCACCAAGTCATTTTATGACCACAAAATCTGGGCTTAGCCCAGGGGTGGCCAAGCTGCGGCTCGCGAGCCGCATGCGGCTCTTCGCGCGTTAAAGTGCGGCTCGCGGCTACCTCCCCTACCCATCCCCCCCCCCCCCACACACACACACACACTCACAGTAACACATTTCTCTCCTGGTCACACCAGCACTTCCCCAAAAAGAGAAATGGAACGCGTTTTAAATCGAAAGACAGGTTGCTGTTTCTTAGTCTTGTGCTACTGCTACCTTACGTACAGTTGTACAGCTTCTGACTCGGATAGATTGAAAGTAGTTCGAGTTTTGGTTATTGCTCTGGACAAAAGTTTGCCCCCCCCCCCCCCCCCCCCCCCCCCCCGCGGCTCGTTGAAGTTTAGTGGTTTTGTTTGCGGCTCTTATGCCTGGTCAGCCTGTCCACCCCTGGCCTTAGCCCATTCAAAGATATTTTGTTTTATTTAACATTTATCTAATAGGTGTAACCCATCCTTTCCTTTTTTTCTTCAATTACCATCGAATTACATTTTCATGATAAATTATATCCCAGTCAGTTAAGACGATTATTTTCTTGGTCCCTTCAAAGCGCCAACGCGCCGTCACCACCACAACGCGCCGTCACCACCACAGCCGCATTTTGAAATAGCCCAAAGCAAAGTGGCGACCTTCGGATCCTCAGCCGGCGCGCACCAATCTCAACAATCCAACGAGGGCTCCTTTTAGAAAACGCTCTATGTGGCCGAGGTTTCGGTTACACGTCAAAAGATCGTCAAGTCGTCGAAATTGATTGGTTGTCTACCACAAGGGCGCGCAAGATGCCCTCTGTTGGTTTGACACGCACCAAGCCCCGGAACGTTCTTTTAAATTGTAATATATTATGAAAGGCGTCCAGAGGGTAGTTAAGAAACTTGAGTTTCAGTGTGACAGAGCAACTTTCTTGTGATCGCCTACGACGGGACAACAGACTGGCGCGATCTATCGGGATACTACCGCGATACTTCCCTTTTGCATGTCCTAATTTTTTTGCGCATGATTCCTGCACCATAGTATCACAAATGTATGTGAATGTTATAAATGTCCATTCCTGATGTATGGTACGCCTATTGGATATTTCACTGTTAATTGAAGCCTCTAGTAATAAAGGGTTAATTACCGATAAAAAGTTAACTCAGCATCTAACATCAATCAAGGGGAGAGCGTTGTAAATGCGTAAAAACTGGGAAATGCAAGTCAGCGTTAACACGCGAAATCGTAGAAGCCGAGCACATCGATTGTTAGGAGACACGTGTGTTGCTATGCTGTCGATTGCGTTATCGGAGAAGGAATTATTTTTCCTGAGAACGAGATAGTGTTATTTTCCAATTATAATCAGTGATGGTCGTTTTTCTTTGCTTTTTCCGTTTTGTTTGTTGTCATCGTGACGATGGTTGAGACTATAAAAACCGGAACACGTACCCAATAAAATTCAGTTGAAAGTTGCGCTTTGTTGTGTCCTGTTCTCTTCTTTTGTCCTCGTCCTTGCTGCGCCCAAGATTGTGTAAGATGCCAAACCAACTCGCCCAAACAACCACTCTTCTGAGGCCGTTTGAAGAGGCGGGATAAGTCGGGTTCTTAACTTATCGCGCTAGGATTTACTACAGAGGTACCTGAGGTTGGTAGAAACTCACTAAAATTGTAGGAAGATTGGCTCACCTAAGTAATTCAAGAAAATAAAAAGGACTATGATTTTTTTATACTTTGTATGTACACTGAAAAAAATAGTATGTGTTACTGTGGGGATTATTTGGGCCAAATGAAGTGAATAATAGGTACGACAATTCTATTTTTTTTATTTCACAAATTATACAATGGCAGTAAACGCCAGACTAGACTGCAACGCATTTCTGATGATTTTGAGATAAAAGGCTTAGCGATTATTGTTCCATACAGAAAACCAGTTTTCATTTTCTTTCTTTTAACTCTGGAGGTTTCTTGCATTCATGGTCTCAAAGAATGAATTCCTCAGCTTTGAGCACCTCTGTAGTAAATTCCAGCGCGAGAAGTTAAGAAACCGCCATGCATCAATCCATTTGACCCACGCGGTAAGTTGTTACTTTGGTACCAAATGTAAGTAGATAAAAGGATCGCGCTGTTTGTGGTGCATTACGTACACGTGTGCAAGAATACTAGACAGGCAGTCTTACTCTTCAACGACGAATTTGAAGACGATGTTCGAAGCCGCACTGGTGATGGTAGTGATTGCTCCCGTGTTGGCGCCGTAGATGACGCTCAGGTAGAGCAGAACACGAATGCGGCTCTTGAGCGCTTTGGTGGCCGATGTCGCGCCAGTTCTAGGTGCTAACTCCACGGCGACCTCGACCGATACCTGCGCGAGCTTTCTGCAAAGCAGGGAAGAAATAATAACGACAACCGATAACAGCTATAACTTATTTCTTCCTCGCTCACTCCCTTTCTCTTTCTATCTCTCGTCTCTGGTTGGGTGATTTCTTTCAGTGACTAGAGCCGACAACAAAAAATAAATTGCAACAGGCCGTTGCTAACTGTGTCAGCCTGGTGAACTATCTGTCTCAGTAGAGAAACAAAGTCTAATAATATATTGACGAAAATAATTTTTGTAGAAGGGGAACATTTAATTGCATTATAATATTATATTGTCCTTTCATTTGTAGTTATTAAGCTATATACATCTCGTTCGTTCGGAAAACAGGGTTTTGTACAATTGTCGAGAAGTAGTATTATGCCAAACAGCGTTTTTAATTCAACACGCCGTCGCAATGATGACATTAATAAAGATATTTAGTCGTAACAATCATAGACGACCCTTTTAAGTCGACGAATATTAAAATGATGTAATCCATCAAAAACATTTTGGTTGTGGCGTGGAGGCAACAGGCAACTAACAGGCAATAACGCTGCAATTGTGACATGGTTGAAGAAGTAGTGTTTTCTGCTTCCAGCAAACATCTTTTTTTGTGCAACACACGCTAAGGAAAGAAAAAAATTCTTCTAAAGTACGCCCATCTATGGATCATCAAAATAAATCATATTAAAATCAAGCTACCCTTAGCTTATGTTTAGGTTACCCTGTTCTCGAAAAATGTACCAAATGGCACCCTGGAAAGTAAACACCAACACAGTTGTATCAACATTTTCGAAATCCGATCTACTCCGTATTAGTTCTGTCATTCAATAAGAAAAACCAAAGCTTTAGGGACGGAAATCCTTATCTACAGCTTTAGTTTGTGTTCCCCCGAAAAACAACCCCTTCCCCCCCCCCCCCCCCCCCCCCGCCTTCTCCAAAACTGCTCTTGAAGCTACTTTTTTTGTCTATCCAAAAGTCTTTTACTCGTTTCTTACTTTTATTCATGTCGGGACAATTTCCAACAACTCAGGTCGCGCACACCTTCCCTGGAGTAAGAAGAATCCCATGACCAGGTCCTGTAGTTATTTTTGTTTTGTTGTTGTGTTCTCGATGTAGGTTTTTTGGGGGCAAGAATATTTTATTGAGCACCGACAATTCATTCCAAAAAACAAAATCTCTGAGCAACGAGAAAACTTCAGAAGAAAACCGTCAAATTTGGTGAAAAATAAACCAAGAAAGAACTGAACTTTCCATAGACATTTTTCTGTAGACATTTTTCACAGGGGCGCCGCCATCTTGAATTGTCGTCACTTGCAGTATGGGCGACGACAAAACAGTGAAACGTTTCAACCTGTAACCAGTAAAAAAATAGAGGGGACCCAAAACGAGAATGTGTGACGGTTAGGCTTATATACTCAATGTGTTCTATTGGCGTGGTGACGGCAAAGTAATGTTTTCGCACATACTGGAAGTGACGACAATTCAAAATAGCGGCGCCCGTGTGGAAAGGTCTATACTTCGTTTCAGCTTAACTCCGAACGCAGCCGATGCTACGATCTAAGGGGAAAAATCACGCAGCGTCAAAAGCACAAGTTGCTGGTTCTTTTTGTTTTATTATGATTGGTTCAGCGATGACGGAACACATCCAGAAACAGGACGAACGCCACGATTGAGCGATTTTTGACGCTGTCGTTTTTATACCATCAGCTCATAGCGTCGGCTGTGTCTTGAATTTAAGTGAAACAAAGTATACACGAACTCATCTCTGTTACGTCACGGCGCGGCGGTGGCGCGTCGGTCGCACTTCCGGTCTGGAGCTGTGGGCAGAAGTCCCCATGCCGGACGTGTATTCCTGCGTTGTTTTGAAAGGAACGAGACGAAAACTTGCCTTCTCGTCAAACCTCTGCGACTGGGGCCGTACCAAAAGTGTCGAGAAAGGTTTGAAGGTCAGTTTTCACGTGCTCGGTTCGTCCGAGAATATGGATATGTGCCGTGAAAAGGGAAAAGCAGACGCCGTCGGACAATGATTGCTTGGGCGGGAAGCACTGTGGTTTGAATTCACGGATACTTGTGGTCATCAAATTTATTTGTTTTGTTCCAACATGAACGCCACAAAACCGTCAAGTTGTGCGGACCACCTGCCGACTACGTTCAGCGCGTCTTCAAGTTCAAACGGCCACCTGATCGTTCGAATTGTCGTCTGCTCTTTCAAACGTTTCTGCTTGTCGTCTGCTCTCTTAGAGGACGCCGGCCCGTAGACCAAATCTTGGCCCGGTACTTGCGATAAGAAGTAAGTACACGCCTCAAAGTACTTAAATTTTAAGGTTGGTAAGCAGGCTCGATGTAAACCGCAGATACAAGGTGATGTTTGACTACTTTTCAACTATCACTACAAACATACAGTATCTTTCATGCACAAATCTATCCACTGGAACACCAAATATAGCTCGTAATGACACGACGTTTTTTCTTTACCCTGTCGATCCAGAAGAAGTTCATAATACCATTAACACGCTAAAAAATACTTCGTCGTCGGGGTGCGACGGAATACAGACGATAATACTAAAAAAATGTGGTTCCATCATTGCGTACCCTATGGCTGATATTATCAACAAAATTTTCACGACTAGCTCTTACCCTGACTTACTCAAAATAGCAAAAGTGATTCCAATATTTAAAAAAGGAGACAAACTAAAACCAGAGAACTATCGACCAATCGCCTTACTTCCTGTCATTACAAAAGTGATTGAAAAACTTCTACTAAAGCGACTGAACCTGTTCTTCTCTGAAAATAATTTTATCACTCCGTCACAATATGGATTTCTTAAGGGGAAATCAACAGAACTCGCGTTATTAAATATGGTAGAGACAACAAAGCAAAATATTGAAATGAAGTTATTAACAATGGGAATCTTTGTAGACCTAACAAAAGCGTTTGACCTAATTAACCATGAACTTTTACTACAGAAATTAAGTGCTTACGGGGTTCGAGGTGTTGCTCTCAATCTAATCGAAAGTTATCTATCAAACAGATGCCCATTTGTCACTTTAGATGGCATTATTTCAACAACTAAACCTATTACCATCGGTGTTCCGCAAGGCTCAATATTAGGTCCCTTTCTTTTTTTAATATATATTAATGACCTGGCAGCCTATTTACAAAAAGATTATGTTCTTTATGCCGACGATACAAATATTTTTATATCTAATGCAAGCGTGACAGAACTATACATGGAAGCTAATAACACTTTAGAAAAGCTTGCTAAATGGCTAACCCATAACAAATTAGTTCCAAATATAGCGAAAACAAACTACATAATTTTTGCCCCGAAAAACAAACTAATTTTAAACACACCTCAGCTTTCGTTTGCAAGTATTAACCTAACTCGAGTGTACCATACTAAATTTTTAGGACTAACACTTGACCATCAGTTAACATGGCACCAACACGTAAAAGACACAACTAATAAGATATATCGAAATATTCCAATTCTATATAAACTACGGCACATATTTTCCTTACGAACCCTCCAAATGCTTTATCATAGCTTCATTCATACTCACATTTCGTACGGGTTATCCATTTATGGATTGACATATAAAACAACACTAAAACCCATAGAAATCGCCCAGAACACGGCACTACGAGCAATGCTGTTTGTTAATAGGCGCGAAAGTGCTCAATTTGCGTACCACTTCCTCAACATTTTAACAGTTAATCAATGCCTCGATTATCGTGTAGCATTATTAACATTTAAGTTCATCACCAATCAAATAACATGCTCTTCAATTAGTTTTACTCATCAAGATGTCATGTATCCTCTGCGTTCACATTCACAAGCGTCACTGTCTGTACCATGGACACGAACTAATTATGGTGCGTTCACCTTCATTTATATTGCTACTAAAACGTGGAACTCTCTACCACCCTGCCTAACTGCCATGTCATCATTCTATATCTTTAAACAAGCCATACGTGCCCACATACTATCTGCATGATTTATCAACCATTTCTATGCCCCTCCCCTCCCCCCCCCCCCCCCCCTCCGATTCATTCTTCCCTCCTAGGCACACCTTTCACACAATCACAAACACACAAACACACACTGATGTTGTCCTTTTTTCTCGACTTTCTAGCTTTTCTCCTCTCTATTTTCACTTGGTTTAATATTTTGATTATGTAGATACCACAATTGTGTTTCGTTATTTTTTTTATCTTTTTATTTTTTATATAATGGTGTTAACTTGATCGCTGACTAACCCTTTATTACCAAGGGGTCCCTTCAACAGTTTTCTTTTGAAAACTTTGGGACCCCTGTCTGAATAAGTGTAATTATCTAACATTTTGTGTACAAATAAAAACACATTTTGACTTGACTTGACTTGTTGATCATTGTTACCAGTGACCATCACCGACTTGCTAGGCCTGATTGGCATGGTCCGATTCTGCCTGCGATGCTCAGTATCGACGTCGACCATCTCAGCTACGGTTCCCGCTTTTGCAGCCCGAGCGACGTTGCGACTGAAAATTGGGAGCGAAATCTCATCATGCGAATCAGGCTTTAGCGTACATTCTGCGGCGTCCACGCGGAAGGAATCGCCGCATGTTACATTATTGACGCGGAATTTTGCGGGTTTAACGAGCTTTCTTAATTTCGCTGAGGCCGCTGAAGTAGTCAGGCATTGCCAGGAAGACGTAGAATAAGCAATTCGAAAGCGAAAAAGGGCAGGGGGACTCACACAAGCGCCGATAACATAGCATTTCAATGGTTTGTTTATGGGCGACGGCGAGCTTCTTGCCCACACCCCCATGGCGCATGCGCGGCGCCGGTGGCGCCCGCTAGGGGCGCTCCGGTTTGTTTGTAAACATGAGTTGGTGTATAGATGAGAGAGCCAAAAAAAAGCGAGATTGTATTTTTTGAATAGCGGAAGATAAATAGGTTTACTACAAATGCGTTTATGTAAATGGTTTTGGTAGAAATCTTTACTAATAAGAAACAAAAGCAATAAGGACAATAAAAACAAATTACTCGCGCAGAACTGGTAATATTTAATTAAAACAGAAATGTTAAAAGCTTGCACTTTATTTTTTATTTTATTTTTGTTCAGAATGATCATTTTTCTCTACTATTTTGTTTTGCGCATTTTCATTTTAGTTAGTAATCATTCAAATTCCCGAAATGATTATTTAAAAGCTCACAACTTACCCGTCGGGATTAGACACGAGATCTTCGCGGCCACTGTCAGAAATTCCTTTTAGAGGAATCAAGGTCAAACCTTCCAAGAAAGAAAAACCGTACACGATATAAGTCAGTATACCACATTCCAAACAGGTTGCTGGTATCGGCAAAAACTTGGCCACCGTAATTTTTCTGCCGCATTTTATAAGATTTTATTACGAATACCTTAAGGTACATTTGCAATAAAACCTAAAAACAAAGAGTTGTGCATTGTTTAGCCACGTAACTATTATTACAGCAAACCAGGCAAGAAATGCATTGCATGCCTTACCACCAAGCCAAGGAGGCACAGTCATAAACTCATAACTGGAATGAATAATGTTATTTCTACATTAAGAATTTGCAAAGGAGGGGAATTTAACATCGAAATTCTACAATTTCTGATGCCAAACGAGTAGCGTGTTGTGCGGCGAAGGAAATTCAACACGAAAGAACCAAACCACGAGCGCTTGTCGAAATAATATTTGTTCTTGAGGTCATTACAAGGACACATGTTTGGTTTCTAGAAACATTAAACCTAGTTGAGAAAAGCACCATACAAGCATCTCTCCCACTGCTCTGTTGATTCGCATGCAATTTTCTTTGCCTTGTATCGTTTTAATTAAAACCGCGATTCTGTAATAAGTATTTCCTGTCTCATGAGCAACAGCTTACCGACGAGCTCGTTTTCCACTTGGTCAATGTCGTCATCAGTATTGCTGCAAAGAAGCTCTTTCGAAAGTGAGTCTACGACAGGCATCATCATGGCTGTGATGGCTACGTTGTTGATCCACATGGACAGGAACATGGAAATGGCCATCAGCCCAAAAACGAGCCTGCAGATACGTGATATATACCTGAATGACACCTGCTAAGCAATGTTACAGAATCATTTCACTATGATTGCGAACACCTCCGCTGTAAATGTTGACTAAATGATTAATAGTGGCAAACGATCGCACAGCAAACACGTCAAATCAGCAATAAAAGGATGTGCGAAAAATTTTCGATACATTAAATATAAATAATCATAAGATAGAAACAAAGGAAGCGAGCTCGCAACACCTGAAAATGCCATGCACTGAGAGGAAGAGAAAGAATATGCGCTGTATTTGGAGAGACCTACAGTCGAGAACAACACGGCACATATGGAACCAGCTTATTTGGAGGCTACCTTAATATACGTGCTCGAAATGTGCTAAAACGTCGGTTGTTTCGATGCGCCCTTTCCTTTTTTCTACGTTACCAAAGTCAGTTTCTCGGAGCTTCCATTTCATGTGATTCTGGTACCATTTTTTTACAATGTCTTTTTTTCTATGTTGGCGTAGCGCATATAACAGTTCAGAATGTACAGTTAACCGACCCCACTATGATAGAATGCAAATAAAGGTTTGCATGCCGTCGAAAGAAACAGATTGGCGTTGTTTGGATTCAAGCTCAGTTTCATTTCACTACCGGTGTGCTAAGCGCACCACTCTAAAACCTGCTTTGTGCTTCGACGTTTTCTAGGTGTCTGATGGATGTACCGAAACAAAATATAGGATGTAACGTATATCCACATCTATAAATACAAATCTATATATTCGGCCTCACAAAAACAGCATTCTGCAAAGCAAATTGTATGTCTGAACTACCACCTTTATTGTCACCCAATAATAGTGTTTTCTAAACTTTTGTGCGGATTCTGTTTTATTTTACTTCTTCACTTGCAACAGTTGCTTATCATTTAAAAAAAATCTGGCTTCATAATTAAAAAACGAAATTGGGGTTGCATTCGAGTTCTCTGTTTTTGTATTTTTAGGGCTTGTTTTTGTCCTTCACTTGAAAGGAAATGACCTTCATTTCTACGAAATGCGCATCAGAAGCCCTGCTTTTTTTTACAGTGACAGCCGTTGCTGTCGAGGTTTCGCAATGAATCTGTAGTATGTCGAGTGCACGATCTGGCTTTCTGAATGCTGCGAAAAACGCTTCTCGCTAAATGTATCGTCGAGTTACAGTGTTACGTGACACAGTGACTTTACGCGAACTATTACCCCGTTAAACTTGGAGGAGAAATTGCCCCGATATATTTAGCGTGACGCCACATCACGTGACATTATGGAGACCGTTTTTCCGCTAGATTTAGCGAAAAATTTGTGGCGTCACTTGATAATGTGACGTCACTTCAAGCGTTTTGCTGCTTTATTTAGCGAGTCAATTCATCCGCTATATTTAGCGAGGAAGTTGAAGCGTCGCAGTCATATGATGTCCGTGTCACATGACAATCTGTCATGTGGCGCAACAATTTTCCCTTTAAATTTAGGATGGAGCGTTTACGCTATACATAGGAAGGGAAGTTGTGGCGTCAGGTGATAAAGTATTTTTACCTCTCCCAACTTTTAAATAGTAGCGGAAAATGACTGTGCGTAATATTTGTGCAGCAAAGCGTGCTACGCCTCGGATGTCACCTCGGCGGTTCATTTGCGGAACAGGCCAAAGTACAGGCCATTTTCTTGTTCTCAATAGTGAGCAAATGCATTTTTTTTCAAGAAGATTTTATTAGGACGTGCTATGGCAGGTTTAATTCAGGACTGTCTGCCAGCGCGGTTTTTTCAAGAGAGGTATTCTCGAAGCTGCAACGTCCCGCCAGGGCGTGTACGCATCTGTCTAATGTTGATGATATTAAGGCCATCTTATCCAACTGTACTTAAAATTATTGGTTGCTCTGGAGAGCGTGAAACGCCATTTCCCGGTTTGCGTTTCTCTGTGTCTCGCCCCGGCGTCGTTGGACACATATTCTTTGAAGATTTGCTAAGACCCATGAGGCAGAGATTTCTAAGACCATAAAGATTACTTAATTTGAATGATCTTTCTAGTTATTAAACAGTCCCTGTAACAGTTTCTGTAATACTGAGACGTGTTTAACCCACCAATGTGCCCTGGGTGATTACTTTAGTCAACAAGGGTGTGCGCAACACTTCAAGTCATAATATTAGTCAGCAATCTTGCAGCGCACCTTGGACAAAACAGGTCAACTCGTTGTGGCACAGCTAAACTTGATCTAATGTTTCTGGTGCAAGGGTTTCGGAAGTATCCCTTGACCTATTTTATTACACAGAGTATTCATTCCTATATAGTCAAACCTCGATGTAACGAAGTCGCTAAAATTCGGAATTTACTTCCTTATATTGAAATTTCGCTACATATAAATTTGAGGCTGACGTTAAAGAAAGTTTCCACAAATGTTTCTCGGGGGAATAAAACTCACCGAGGACGCCTCTATCTCGGTTGAAAGTTGTCGCATCACCTTTTTCTGAGCCACCCTTGGCATTATTATTGGCATCACACGACGTTCGCATAGCCAGACTGTCTGCATTGCGTCTTCGTCTTGCCGTGAGATCGCGTCCACCACTCCAGGGTTACTGGGGACATCGCAGGCGTCCATCGCCTTCGAATTTCCATCGCCCAGGACAACCAGAAACGCACGCTTTTAGTTAGGCCTCGAAACGAACTACTCGGCGCGAACGAAGCTTACGGACGAAACGGCGGCGGCTCTAGCGTCCTCTAGTAGCCGTTCTGTACACCACACTCGCCAGATTCGGCCCGTTTCACCTTTTCCGCTTTATTGGGGGCCCATTTCAGCGCATGTGCTTTCCAAAATCGCCTTTAGGACCAAAACGTTTGCGACAAATTGCCCATGAAATTTTGTTATATCGAACTTTCGGCAAACGGGGCTTCGTTACACAGAGGTAAAAAATACATGGCGTGCATACACTTGCGGTTAGAAAAAGTTGTGTACGTCGTTACGTCGGGGGCTTCGTTACATAGAACTTCGTCACATCCAGGTTTGACTAGTACGCACGTAAAAATTGTAATCCTACCGGAATTCTGAAGAAACATCTACAAAATTGGCGGTGATGTTTCTTCGGCGGACACCAAATATAATTTGATATGCCATGGACACAGACATTATTTTATGGACCAAGCTAAAAGTACCTTGAGCACACAAAACATTGTTTCAAAATATATCGTTCTGGCTCAGGCTAAGCGAACTTTGATTTTTTTAAGTATTATTTTCGACAACGGTGTAAATTCATTCATCGTGAAATCCAAATTCGATTTCAAAATGAAAATTATTTAAGATATAATATTACATATGTGTCCATAGATGTTTAGTTTCATGAAGATATAAATTGGTCGTTCCATGTAGATTATCTACTAGAAGAGATACCTCCCGATCTTTTAGAGTTATCTTTAGAGACTAAAGAATTTATTTCCCCTTTGGGCAAACATTAAGGAATAACATTAATGTATAAAGCAGGGATGGGCAGTATTTGAAATACGTATTTCAAATACTTTGTGTATTTTGCATTTGTATTTAATTACAAATTGGGTAATGTATTTGACGTGTGCATTTAAATACTAAAACGTGGGTATTTCAAATAAAATTGTAATTAAATACAATTTTGTGGGCAAAAATACGGCCCTCAAATTTATTGTCACTGTCCAGAACACGAAGAAAACTACGTTCTGCACCAAATGCAGTGTCTTTCAATCAAGCACAATTGTTTCGTGACTTTGTGACTACGGTGCTAGTCCAGGGCAGGAATAGTGACGAAATCGACGTTCACTGGCAACCTGGCTAAATAGGTGCCTGTGACAACTTGTGATGCTTTCCCAGCCTGACTTTCATTCATATTTTTGCCTGGAACATTCTAAATGCGCGGGTCGTCCAGCTTTTCGTAACTGGTGCGAGTTGCAACAATAACAAATTCTCTAGCTAGTGCTGCGCGTCTTGGTCGTCTCGGTTCTTTGTTGGTCTATACCAAAATGTAATTGACAAAAAAAAGTGCTTGAAACTGTGTATTTTTTTCACCTATTACATCCAAGCTGATTACATTTTGTTTTGTGATTATATTCCTATTACGTTACTAGAGCCTCGCACACTAACTCCCGAGTGTGCGATGCAAAATTAAAATGAGATACCCAGAAACTCGTGGCCGGTGTCCTGAAGTCGCTGACGCAAATGTTCAGGAATGTATTTGGAAAAGTATTTGGAAGAGACCAAATACATTTGGTTGTATTTGTATCTTGTATTTAAATGCTTTTTTGGAAATGTAATTATATTTTAATTAAATACATTTCTGACGAAGTATTTTATATTTGTATTTAGATACATATTTGCATGTATTTTGCCCATCCCTGGTATAATGTATTAAGCCATGATATTTGCTCATTGGTCAAATATTATACCTTGAGGTTACACCTTGATTTATTACTTTAAGTTTATGCCTTAAGGTTATAAGGTATATTACTTGCCCCTTGGGCAAATATTAGATACATTTCTTAATCCACGTCTTCACTATAAAAACCGTTTAAAAACCCTGCACACACTCCAAAAAGGGTATTGTCCTTATTCGATAATGCACCGCACGCCAATCACTGCGCTCCCCTCTTTGAGAGATACCGGATATTAAGTATTGCAAATGTTTATATAAAGTTAGTGCTGGTTATATATATTCATATCTAACTCGAGCCAGCTTCTTTTTTAAGTGGTATATTGGAAAAGAGAAAGCATAATATTTTCAGTAAAAGGACTACATCAAGAAAAAATACGCACTAACTATGGACTAGAGAAATTAGATATTCAAAAAGCCAACCTTCTTAATCACCACCCTGATCCCATGACCCTTGTCGAGAGATGTGTCCGTGCAAGCTTTGAAGAGGAACATAAATGCATACATTTTGTATTCTCACAAGTGACAAATTGGGCTGTTTCATTGTTGTTGTCGTTTTTGATGTTTTTGTTGTTGTTTCATTTTGTGCGCGTAGCTACCTTTTTTTGTTTGTTGCATAT